TATATATGTCAACTTTCCTCAAAAAGTTAAAAAGAAAAAATATATCAACCATTTGGATGTCTAAAAAAATAAAAATGTGACATATTAGGCTAAACCCCCAAATTTCTATTGTAGTCATGGCACATTTTCAAACTGTGCCAAGAGTAAAAACTATTTTCTTTCAAAGGAAATAAAATATTAATTTTCAAAGATTACACAAATAAATGTGTAAAATTCCACTGGAGAAATTAAAAATAAAAGTTTTAAGTTTTTACTTCCATCATTTTGAAATGGTACATAAACAACTGAACTACATCTTTATTTCACTGACCCTTTTTCATGCCATAGTAATTTAAATATCATATTAAGTCTCTGAGGTTAACTAATTAATTTGTAGTGTAAATTATATTGTTCTTCTCATAGTCAATATACACACACTCATATCAATCATAAAACAATACTCATATTGCATATGATGGCCAAACAGTATTTATTTGGATGGCTTATTTTCAAACAAGTAGACAAATTTTTATTTTTCTTATCACAAAACCTATATTATCTTATCTTACTATATATATATTTCTATATATCTTATAACTTAATGAGAAATTTTCAACAATATATCTATTATTCATATGTCATAAACTGACCTATAATAAGGTAATATGTATATATAATGGTTAAAAGTATGGCCTTTTTAGCCAGGAAATCCTCAGTTTCAAATTCAGCTACACCTCTGTCAGTCATGCAATTCAAGGGAGATAACTTTACATCTCTGAGCATTAGTTGCCTCACCTACGTAGAAACATATAGTATCTCAGAAGATTTCTGTATTAAATGAGGTAAACTATGTATATCATTTATCATAGTGACTGCTGAGCAATAAATTAACTGGTTTTTTATTGGTTTTTCTTCTTAATGTTCTTGCTGTTATTAATGTTAAATTTTTATCTAAATGTAAAAATATTTTATATATCTTAAAATCTCACTTTATGTAAACCATTTTGTTCACTATCTATCCTCCCTACATTTATTGACCTCCTTGTTATATGACTGATAGCACACCAGGCACTGGAGAACCAAATAATAAACTATCCTTGATTTCAAGGTTTCAGTGAAAAGGAAAAAGAAAGAAATATAATAAAGGCCAGAATATAAGAGCCTAAGAGGTAGGTAGAGACACCAAACTTGCCTGAGAGGTACTGTTTCTCAGAAGAAGAAATGCTGGACTGAGTCTGAATTAATATTTTACCAGGAACAGAAAGGATCTAGGTCACAGAGAAAACAGTATCTACAAAAACATGGAGGTCTGAGAAAAGTTGGTAGATTGGGGAACAGCAAGCAATTATTCATGAGAGCTAGAAGAAAGTTAATCTCTCCCTACCTTTCTATTGCTCAAATTACTTCATTCAACAAATAAATACAGTATTAATTTAGAACTTAATTTCATAAGCACTCTACTTGGTTCTTTGGGAGAACAGGGATTAATCAGATTCAGATTCCGTCCTGAAGCAGGTAAAGTGTAGTAGAAGAGAACAAAGTTTTTAAAATCATGAAAAGTTTCAGGTATCTATAGAAGGATAAAATTAGGGTTGTCTTGCGGTTTTGCCAAGGGAAATATTACTTATACAGAGGGAGGTATGGAAAAAACAGACCAGGGATTCATTGGAGAGTTCATATTTGACCTGCAGAACTTATTTCTCATGAGAAAAACAGATTATCCCCCAGTTCAGGGCCAAGCAATATACAAAGCACTTTACATATTCTATAATTCAGAAAGAAAAAAATACTTATTGGGGCCTATCTTAAGGCAATATACTCCATCCACATGAAAAAAAATATTTCCCAATCATTGAATCTCTTAACCACCTTACTCTTCTGTAAGTTTGGATGCACCGACAGAATCCTGTTCAACACATCAGGCAGCCACAGTCAGTAGCTCAGAGTTAGCACATAAAAGAATACCCCTTTGACTTTCCTGTTTTAAATAATCTAAAATAAATCCCTGAATTCAAATTAGATCAGATGAAAGCTGCATATGTCAAACAAATTGTTTCAAGTGCCAACTAAATTGCTTTCACTAAGATGCCCTTTAGCATTATGCCCTCAGTCTACAATGAAGGATGTTACAAAATACACTCCCATAAAATATATTGTTATAAACACCATAGGGATATTATTGAGGATGATATTCATCACATTTAAGTATCTACTTTAGGTAACCTAATAGGAAGAATTTCTATAAGATCTCAATATTTGGTTTCATTTTATCTTATGGACATTCTTTTTCTCTTGGCACTGGCTACCAGAAAACTCTCAGTTAAATTTATTACCGACCTATAGCAAATTTATGGAAACTCATAGCATGCATTTTATGTACTCATCCAGCTGAATTTTCTTTTGCTATTTCCCCTTTCCGAGATTTTCTCACTTATTTATTTTTTAAATATTATTATTATCTTGTATATATTTTGGTAAGATGTTTTAGTTTTTTAAACAATGAAATACAATTTTTTTTCTCTAAGATATAGGGTAGGCATCATTCCCCATTAAACGATGAGGAAACTATGGCTGTTTTCAAGTAAGGATTTAAATTTTAGCCTGACTCCAAAGGGTATCCACTTAAGCACTCTACTATTACTGCAAGGTTTATGTACTACTAGCACAGATACAATTGATAGAAACCAATTGTTCACACACTGTTGGACAAATATGCATTATTATTTTGGATATTATGTGGTCAAATGGAGTAATTTCTTCTACTGAGCTTTTCAGTAAAGGATGGAAAAAAATAACTAAGGTTAAGGAAAATATGATCTAAGAAAGAAATCTGGATTATTTCAGACTGTAGGTAAACCAAAACAACACATGATCTTTAAAAGAATAATTCCAACCCTTATAGAGTTGTTTTATTATAAAGAGACTTCCTCTCTTTATCTGAGGTAAAAACAATTCAAAAGATATTTTCTAGATACCAAATACATACCAGACAAGGCAATAATGCAAAATTCAAGAAAACTAGAATAAATTGTTCTTAATTATGTGGACAGTGTTCAGGTCTGAATGGAAGAACAATGCTATAGTACTAATTATGGGTTGAATTATGTCCCCCAAAATTCATATCAAAGCCCAAACACCTGGTGGGGGTGGGAGGAATGAGGTGGCTGGGTGACAGACATTGGGAGGGTATGTGCTATGGTGAGCACTGTGAATTGTGTAAGACTGTTGAATCACAGACCTGTACCTCTGAAACAAATAATACATTATATGCTAAAAAAAAAAAAAGAAGAAGAAGATAGCAGGAAGGGAAAAATGAAGGGGAGGAAATCGGAGGGGGAGACGAACCATGAAAGACTATGAACTCTGAGAAACAAACTGAGGGTTCTAGAAGGGAGGGGGGTGGGGGGATGGATTAGCCTGCTGATGGGTTTTAAAGAGAGCACATACTGAATGGAGCACTGGGTGTTATACGCAAACAATGAATCACGGAACACTACAGCAAAAACTAATGATGTAATGTATGGTGATTAACGTAACATAATAAAAAAAAAAAAAAGTCCAAACACCCAAAACCTCAGAATGTGACCTCACTAGGAAATAGCATCTCTACAAAGGTAATCAAGTTAAAATGTGGTCATTAGATGGACTCTGAAAGACCAACTGAGGGTTCTAGAGGGGAGGGGGATGGGCGGATGGGTTAGCCTGGTGATGGGTATTAAAGAGGGCACGTTCTGCATGGAGCACTGGGTGTTATGAACAAACAATGAATTATGGAACACTACATCAAAAACTAATGATGTAATGTATAGTGATTAACGTAACAATAAAAAATTTTTTTTTAAATTTTTTTTAAAAAATGTGGTCATTAGAGTGGCCCCTGATCCAATATGACTGGCAGCCTCATAAAGAGGGAATATTTAGAGAAAGCCACGCATTCAGGGAGAATGCCAAGTGAAGATGAAGGCAGGGATCGGGGTGATGATTCTACAAACCAAAGAATACCAAAGACTGCTAGCAAATCACCAGAAGCTAGACAAAAGACATGGAATATATTCTTCACAATCCTTAGAAGGAACCAACCCTACTGACACCTTGATCTCAGATTTCCAGAACTATGAGATAATAAATTTCTGTTGTTGAAGCCACACATTTGTGGTTCTTTGTTATGGCAGCTGAAGCAAACTAAAATAGCATGGAATAAACCAGGAGAAGAATCTTACATAAACAAGTTTTCAATTGTTGATAAACAACCAATGTTCTTAGGGTTCAGAGAAGTGTCACATAACTGACACTGCCATGTCCCTCCAACCAATGACACACACGCATGCACACACACATTATGAAAACCAAAAATAATCAACAATTACTTATAAAACAAAATTATGTTTACCTCTCATTAAAATTTTCAAAATATTCTGAATATGTACTATGTGCCATTCAGAGTATGAGGTTCAGGGCACAAAAAAGTTAACAAGATTCAATCCCTACTGGATGGGAATTTATAATCAAGTTTCAATCTTCCAATACAAAATACCCACAGCATTTGATGATTGTGATACAATATTACTTTTGCTGTGTGGTTTGTGTTCAACTGAATCTGTTCCCTAATCATTTCTTTATAGGGAGACCTCTCGGACAAAAATTAAGTTCTGTGAGCATGTCATGCAGAACCAGGTACATGATAAACATTCAATAATTAATAATTTATCATATAGTCAAATTATATCTATTTTATCCCAAAAGAAATAACATCTGAAAAGTTATTTAATAAAATATAAGGTGCTATATCAATGCTCATTAATATTACCATTAAACCATTAAATAATCACTTATAGCAACAAAAACAGCATTTCCTTTTCAAGTATTTCCAAGGTAATTCTTTGAAAATTGGTTTTTCCCTGACAACTTAGTCCATTATGATGAAATATTAAATGGGTTGCATCACACTGAATGGTCAGATGAATTGAGATTTTGAAAAAATCTAAGACAAATTCAAAAGTATTGGTCTTCAATACACTCACCACTTTCAAAGCAAGCATCAAAGATAAGATGTCCTTTCTTGGACTGTCCACAGTATCCAGACGGAAACACCATATATTTGCTCACATTCCCTCCGATGGCATCATCATTTCCCATATCATTGCCTATTGTTAAAAAAAAGGCTCATGTTTAACAAAAATCAAAATATATTTAAGAATATAAATCCAATAAGATTTTTATTATTAATTTCCCCCATCATTTATTGCTTATCAAACAGTAAGAAATGAATTGCATAATGTAGAGTAGAAACAAGATATATTTTGGAATCAGAAACATAAGGTCTGAAATCTCACCTCTACTAAATATTAATTCTGTGATACAAAGCAATCAACTTAATCCCCTTAAGCCTGAGTTTTTCTCATCCATAATTAAGGAATGGCAAAAGCAATTCTTCAAAATTATGTTATGAGAATTAGATATGAAAATATCTAGCACAACTACTAAAACCCAAAAGATGTTCATTAAATTCAACCAAGTATTTAATAAGTAGCTAATATATTTAAATTCTCAGAAATGTTCATTTAGGGGAGCCTGGGTGGCTCAGTTAAGCATCTGCTTTTGGCTCAGGTCATGATCCCAGGGTCCTGGGATTGAGTGCCACATCAAGCTTACTCCTCAGTGGGGAGTCTGCTTGTCCCTCACCCTCTGCCTCTCCCCGCAAACACGTGCGCTCTCTCTCTCTCACTCTTTCTTGCACGTGTGCTCTCTCTCTCTTTCTCAAATAAATAAAATCTTAAAAAAAAGGAACTGTTTACTTAATTATTTTAATTCAAATAAAACAATAATTATATAACTAGCATTATAAATTGCTAATGTTCCACAGCCAGAAATAATTTGAGAACCACTGAATTAACATAGACGTTATATTACACTGTTGGTGGGAATGCAAGCTGAAACAGCCACTCTGGAAAATAGTATGGAGATTCCGCAAAAAGTTGAAAATAAAGCTACCCTATGACCCAGCAGTTGCACTGCTAGGTATTTACCCACAAGATACAAATGTAGTGTTCCGAAGGGGCACCTGCACTCCAATGTTCATAGCAGCAAAGTCCACAAAACCCAAAATGTAGCAAGAACCAAGATGTCCAGACAGATGAATGGATAGAGAAGATGTAGTATATATATACAATGGAATATTACTCAACCATCAGGAAGGATGAATACTGACCATTTACCTTGACATAGATGGAACTGGAGGGTAATATGCTGAGTGAAATAAGTCAGTCACAAACAGACAATTATCATATAGTTTCACTCATATTTGGAATATAAGAAACCGTACAGAGAATCATAGGGAAAGGGAGGGAAATTGGATGGGAGTCATCAGAGAGGGAGAAAAACTATGAGAGACTCCTAACTATAGGAAACAATCTCAGGGTTGCTGAAGGGGAGCTGCGGGGAGGGATGGGGTTATTAGGTGATGAGTATTAAGGAGGTCACATGATGTGATGAGCATTGAGTGTTATACACAACTTATGGATTACTGAACACTACATCTGAAAGTAAAGATGTACTATATGTTGGCTAATTGAATTTAAATTTAAAGAAAAAGTTATATTTCTTTTTTTTAATTTTTTATTGTTATGTTAATCACCATACATTACATCATTAGTTTTTGAGGTAGTGTTCCATGATTCATTGTTTGTGCATAACACCGAGTACTACACCCAGAACGGGCCCTCTTTAATACCCATCATCAGGCTAATCCATCCCGCCAACCCTCTCCCCTCTAGAAACCTCAGTTTGTTTTTCAGAGTCCATCGACTCTCATGCTTCGTCTTCCCCTCCGACTTACTCCCCTTCATTCTTCCGCTCTTGCTATCTTCTTCTCCTTTCTTTTTTTCTTAACATATATAGCATTATTTGTTTCAGAAGTACAGATCTGTGATTCAACAGTCTTGCACAATTCACAGCGCTCACCATAGCACATAACCACACCAATGTCTATCACCCAGCCACCCCATCCCTCCCACCCCCCACCACTCCAGCAACCCTCAGTTTGTTTCCTGAGGTTAAAAATTCCTCATGTCAGCGAGGTTATATGATACATGTCTTTCACTGATTGACTTATTTCACTCAGCATAACACCCTCCAGTTCCATCCATGTCGTTGCAAATGACAACATCTTATTCCTTTTTAAGGCTGCATAACATTCCATTGTGTATATATGCCGCACCTTCGTTATCCATTCATCTGTCGATGGACATCTTGGCTCTTTCCACAGTTTAGCTATTGTGGACATTACTGCTATAACCATCGGGGTGCACGAAACCGTTCAGAACCCTACATTTATATCTTTGGGGTAAATATCCAGTAGCGCAATTGCTGGATCGTATGATAGCTCTATTTTCAACTGTTTGAGGAACCTCCATACTGTTTTCCAGAGTGGTTGCACCAGCTTGCATTCCCACCAACAATGTAGGAGGGTTCCCCTTTCTCCGCATCCCCGCCAACATCTGTCGTTTCCTGATTTGTTAATTTTAGCCATTCTGACTGGTGTGAGGTGGTATCTCATTGAGGTTTTGATTTGGATTTCCCTAATGCCGAGTGACGTTGAGCACTTTTTCATGGGTCTGTTGGCCATTTGGATGTCTTCATTGAAAAAAATGTCTGTTCATGTCTTCTGCCCATTTCTTGATTGGATTATTTGTTCTTTGGGTGTTGAGTTTGATAAGTTCTTTATAGATTATGAATACTAGCCCTTTATCTGATATGTCATTTGCAAATATTTTCTCCCATTCTGTCAGTTGTCTTTTGGTTTTGTGGACTGTTTCTTTTGCTATGCAAAAGCTTTTTATCTTGATGAAATCCCAATAGTTCATTTTTGCCCTTGCTTCCCTTGCCTTTGGTGATGTTTCTAAGAAGAAGTTACTGCGGCTGAGGTTGAAGAAGTTGCTGCCTGTGTTCTCCTTTAAGATTTTAATAGATTGCTGTCTCACGTTTAGGTCTTTCAACCATCTTGAGTTTGTTTTTGTGTGTGGTGTAAGGAAATGGTCCAGTTTCATTCTTCTGCATGTGGCTGTCCAATTTTCCCAACACCATTTGTTGAAGAGACTATCTTTATTCCCTTGGACATTCTTTCCTGTTTTGTCAAAGATTAGTTGACCATACAGTTGAGGGTCCATTTCTAGGCCTCTATTCTGTTCCATTCATCTATGTGTCTGTTTTTGTGCCAGTACCATACTGTCTTGATGATGACAGCTTTGTAATAGAGCTGGAAGTCGGGAATTGTGATGCCGCCAGCTTTGCTTTTCTTTTTCAAGATTCCTCTGGCTATTCGGGGTCTCTATTGCTTCCATACAAATTTTGGATTATTTGTTCCATTTTTTGAAAAAAGTGGATGGTATTTTGATGGGAATTGCATTGAATGTGTAGATTGCTCTAGGTAGCATTGACATCTTCACAATGTTGATTCTCCCAATCCATGAGCATGGAACATTTTTCCATTTCTTTGTGTCTTCTTCCATTCCTTTCATGAGTATTTTATAGTTTTCTGAGTACAGATCCTTTCCCTCTTTGGATAAATTTATTCCTAGATATCTTAGGGTTTTTGGTGCAATTCTAAATGGGATGGACTCCTTGATTTGTCTCTCTTCTCTCTTGTTGTTGGTGTATATTAATGCCACTGATTTCTGTGCATTGATTTTATATCCTCCTACTTTACTGAATTCCTGTATGAGTTCTAGCAGTTTTGGGGTGGAGTCTTTTGGGTTTTCCACATACAGTATCATATCATCTGCAAAGAGTGAGAGTTTGACTTCCTCTTTGCCGATTTGGATGCCTTTGATTTCTTTTTGTTGTCTGATTACTGTGGCTAGGACTTCTAATACTATGTCAAATAGCAGTGGTGAGAGTGGACATCCCTGCCGTGTTCCTGACCTTAGGAGGAAAGCTCTCAACTTTTCCCCATTGAGAATGATATTCGCTTAGATTTTTCATAGATGGCTTTTATGATATTGAGGTATGTACCCTCTATCCCTATATTCTGAAAAGTTTTGATAAAGGAGGCTGTACTTTGTCAAATGCTTTTTCTGCATCTATTGAGAGGATCATATGACTCTTGTTCTTTCTTTTGTTAATGTATTGTGTCACGTTGATTGATTTGTGGGTGTTGAACCAACCTTGCAGCCCAAGGATAAATCCCACTTGGTCATGGTGAATAATCCTTTTAATGTACTATTGGATCCTATTGGCTAGTATTTTGGTGAGAATTTTTGCATCCATGTTCATCAAGGATATTGATCTGTAATTCTCCTTTTTGATGGGGTCTTTGGTTTTGGGATCAAGGTAATGATGGCCTCATAAAATGAGTTTGGAAGTTTTTCTTCCATTTCTATTTTTTGGAACAGGTTCAGGAGAATAAGTATTAATTCTTTTTTAAATGTTTCATAGAATTCCCCTAGGAAGCCATCTGGCCCTGGACTTTTGTTTGTTGGGAGATTTTTGATGACTGCTTCAATTTCCTTAGTGGTTATAAGTCTGTTCAGGTTTTCTATTTCTTCCTAGTTCAGTTTTGGTAGTTGATACATCTCTAGGAATGAACCCATTTCTTCCAGGTTATCTCATTTGCTGGCATAGAGTTGCTCATAATATGTCTTAAAATTGTTTTCATTTCCTTGGTGTTGGTTGTGATCTCTCCTCTTTCATTCATGATTTTGTTGATTTGGGTCATTTCTCTTTTCTTTTTGATAAGTCTGGCCAGGGGTTTATCAATCTTGTGAATTCTTTCAAAGAACCACCTCCTACTTTCGTTGATCTGTTCTACTGTTCTTTCGGTTTCTATTTCATTGATTTCTGCTCTGATCGTTATTATTTTTCTACTCCTGCTGGGTTTAGGCTTTATTTGCTGTTCTTTCTTTAGCTCCTTTAGGTGTAGGGTTAGGTTGTGTATATGAGACCTTCCTTGTTTCTTGAGAAAGGCGTGTATTGCTATATACTTTCCTCTTAGGATTGCCTTTGCTGTATCCCAAAGATTTTGAACCGTTGTGTTTTCATTTTCATTGGTTTCCATGAATTTTTTTAATTCTTCTTTAATTTCCTGGTTGACCCATTCATTCTTTAGTAGGATGCGCTTTCACCACCATGTATTTGAGTTCTTTCCGAC